GCGATGGTGCTTTAGGACTCGGCTGCTAGCTGAAAGGTGGGTGGTTCAAACCCAACAGCTGCTCCCTGAGAGACAGATGAGGCAGTCTGCTCCGGGATGACATCCTTGAGACCCCTGTGGGGCAGGGCTACGCTGTCCCTCAGTGCTTCTGGGAGTCAGAATCGACTGAGAACAGCTTGTTGCTGTGACTATTGTTAGGTGCCATTGAGTGCCAGCAACCCCGTGCGACAGAACGAAGCACCGCCCGGTCCCTGGTCACCCTCACAATGGTTCTTGTGTTTGAGCCCATCCTTGCAGCCACTGCGTCTGGGGACAGCAGCAAGGTGTTATCACTGTAGATGCTGCTTCCTTTCATTACCAAGTGCTCATTCAGTACCTGCTCTGCAATGGGGACTCCTGGCTCGGGCGCGCAGAGAGTGCTCGCCTGCTAGTGGCTACCCCCACTCACCAGTGCCTTGGAGGAAAGGGCTGGCATTCTACTCCGAAATGATTGCCACCCAACCCCCCTGGGACCATGGTATCCTGTACCACACGGGGTCACCGTGAGTGAGGGTCAACTTGAGGGCAGCGGTGCGATATAAATGGACACTGCATTCACATGGGGAAGTCAGCATTGAGCTAAGCAGAAAGAGACTTGCCCTCTCGGGTTTGGAAGTAGAAGAAGCAAATGATAAACGCAGAATGAAAACAGGTTATTTGGGCTGTGATGCAGCAGGAAGAAATGAGAGGGAGAGAGAAGAGGTATCTGGGAGAGGTCACCTTTGACACGGTGTCCCAGCAATTCCCTGAGGAGAAGACTTTTGAGCTGTTGGCTGACAAAGGAACCAGTCATGGAGTGGGGAAGCAGAGCAGGGGGTGGGGGATACACAAAGTGTGAGGCTTAGAAAGAATCTGTGGATGGTAAGTCCAGAGAGGAATGTGTGTGCCGAAAGCTCAGAGAGAGGGGAAAAGCGGGGCTTGAGGGCCAGGCCTCCTGGTTCTCAATATCTCCAAGCAACATCAATGCAACATTCAGGAATCCTACAGGTGACGATGCTCAATTGCTAACTGAGAGGGGGCAGATTTGAGTCCACCTGGCAGTGCCTCAGAAGAAAGGCCTGGCAATCTATTTCCAAAAATAAAACCCCAGCTGCTGAAAACCCAAAGGACACAGCTCTACTTCGACATACATGGGGTCCCAGGAGTCAAAGTCAACTCGATAGCAGACAGCAACTGTCGCTTGTTTACTTATGAGAACCATTTATAACCCCCCTCTCCCACCTCATCAGACTTGGAGCATCTTATAATATTGAATGAAACTCACATAATATAGGCTGGGTTCAGGCTCACAAAACTCAAACTCATTGCCACTGAGTTGATACCAATTCATTGCGACCCTATAGGACAGGGTAGAACTGTCTCTGTGGGTTTCCTAGTCTAACTCAGAGTAGAAATCCCCATCTCCCATTGGCTGTTTTACATCAGAATATATATATATATATATAAATTTAACTCGATAAACACACCTTTTGGGCCAATATATGCTAAGCGGGATATAAATATCACAAGTTGATTTTCAGAATGAAACAAAGTCGCAAATACTATCATCATGAACAAATGATCTATCAAATCCTCTAAGTGAAAGCCTTCTCACTCTCATTCCCCAGGAAGGTGGTTTTTAAGAAAGCAAATGATCCTTTTATGCATTTCTGAACCCTTACTAAGAACTACTTTTTCAGTTGAATAAGCATCACTCTTAAGAGAAAACTGACTCCAAACCAAAAAGACTCCATAAAGCGGCCAGGAAGTCAGACGTGTGCCTGACAAGTCCACATGCACGGGTGTGTTTTCCCATTAGATTGGCAGGATGGTGGAAGACGCTTTCCAATCACGTGGTTGCAAATAGAGAGGAAACGGGCCTTTTCCAATTTACTGGGAGGAGAGGTTCAGAGGAGATTGATAAGATAACTGTGATAAAATTTTACAAGTGGCTATACTTTTGTCCGTACATTCCATCTCTAAGAATATGTACATCAAGAAGCTCACTAGAGGAGCCCTGGTGGTGCAGTGATTGGCCAGTTAGCTGCTAACCCAAAGATCAGCGGTTCAAACTCACCAGCCACTCTGTGGGAGAGCGATAAGGCAGTCTGTTTCTGTAATGATCTTTGTTGCTGTTGGGTGACATCTAGTTGGGTCTGGCCCATAACAGCCCTACACACTACAGAACAAACCCTGCCTGGTTCTGCACCATCCTCCCATTGTGCTTCTGCAGAGGCCATTGTCACAGCCACTGTGCCAATTCATCTCATGGAGGGCCTTCCTCTTTTTTGCTGCCCCGCCACTTTTTGATGTCTCCCCGAGGCACTGGTCTCTCTTGGCAACAGGTCCAAAATGAGTTAGAAGAAATCTTGCCATTCTTGCCTCTAAGGAACACTCTGGCTGAAGTTCTTCCAAGATAGATTTATTTGTCCTTCTGGCAATCCATGATTTTCTGAGTTGTCTTTTTGTTCGTGTGTTTGTTTTTACTTTGCCAAGCATGGTTGCTCATGTATGTAATTAGGGTTGAGTTGAAGCTGATGAAAATTAAAACAAGTCTACAAGAGCCAAAGTACAATCATGACTATATACCACTTGACCTTGGGGACCATTCTAAGAAGAGTTTTAAAGTATTGAACACTAATAATCAAAGGCTGAGAGATGTGTGCAATGGTATCAAGGGCATCATACATGAAGAGAACAAAAGACCATTAAAAAGATGGAAGGAAGGAAGGAAGGAAGGAAGGAAGGAAGGAAGGAAGAAAAAACTACAGCGGATGTCAGATGCAACTGTGAAAGTTGCTCTTGAACAGAGTAGCTAAAGCAAATGGATGAAATGATGAAGAAAAGAGCTCCCTGGAAAATCTCAAAAAACAGTTCAAGGACACAATGAAAGCACGATAGTTAATGGGCAGAGACCTGGAGTTAGAGAGCCAAAAGGGAAGGACATGCTTGGTCTCTCTCAAGAATGACCCTGGAATCATCTAAAGACTATGGAAGGGATTCAGCGTCACTGTACCAAAAAGAACTGGTCGATGCTGAGCCATTTCAGGAGGTAGCAGATGATGGAGATGATAATGAAGGAAGAGGTTCAAGTTGTACTGAAGGCTTCAAGGACTGAGGAAATATCAACTCACACGTTTCAAGAAACTAGTGCAACTCTGGAAGTGCTCATTTATCTATGCCAACCCAAAGAACAGTGAACAATCAGAATGCAGAAGTCATTGAGCAAACCCATTAGGATCAGACACTTAGTGTTTTGCTGAAGATATTTAAAAATGGTTGAAGCAGTACATCGACAAGAACCTGCTAGACATTCAAGGCAGATCCCCAAGGGGACACAGAATGAAGGGTATCGTGGGTGACATCCGCGGGATCTTGGCTGAAAGCAGAGAAAGCCAGAAAGATGCTTGCCTGGGTTTTCTGCACGATGCAAAGGCATTCCGCTGTGTGGATCATAGCAAATATCGGAGAACATTACAAAGAATGACATTTTAGAACACTTCATTGTGCATACGCAGGACCCTTATGTAGACTAGGAATAGTTGTTCTAGTCGAACAAGGGGAGAGTGATTGAAGAAAGGCGTATGTCCGGCTTGTTGCCGTTCACCATACTCAGTCAATCGGTATGCTGAGCAAACAGGCAGTGTTTCTTGCTGTTGTACACAGGGTCTCGATGGGCAAGACCTGACTTGATGGCACCCAACAACCATAAGAACAACAAGACTTCCCCAGAGGCAATCTCCCAAGGAAACAACCCAGTTACCCCTTTCTTAGCCCTCCGCTTCATATCCGACTTCATAGACAGGATGAGTTTCCATGATCACCTCTAGATTTGAGCCTCCTGTTTTTTGGAATACAACCCAGGTTCTAAAGGTATTTTCCGCAAACTAGCACAAACATTTGCATGTGGGTAAATGGAAACAAACAATTTGAAAGCAGCGCTGGTCTTGCCTGGGGATTCAGAGGTATGATTTCAGAAAGGGTTGTTTATGTGTATGGTCCGCTTTTCATTTATTGTGGTGAGATTCTCGTAACCAATTAGCTACTTTTGAGTCAACCAGTCAGTGGCGTGGTGCACATTCACAAAGTTGTCTCTGTGTGCGGTTCCTTTTTAATTTATCGTGGTGAGATGCCCGTATGTAACTGACCACTGTAGAGCAAATCAGTCAATGGTGTTGCATACATTTGCAAAGTTGTACAACTACCACCACCAGTCCCTCCTCTGAACACACAGTCCACACTCCAAAAATAAAATAGGGCGCACTCAGCAGTTTCTCCTCTCATCTGGGCCCCAGGAACCAGCAATCTGCTTTCCATTTCTACAGATTGACTGACTCTGAGTATTTCCTATAAATAGACTCATATGGTACGTGACCCTTTGTATCTATTATTTCTCTACAAGTGTTTAAATTCCTATTATTTAATTAACATGTGGCATTAAAATACTCAAATACACTTAGACCATCATCGCATGCCTATGTGGTGAAACCTGCATGAAGTAACACTTCAAATGCTATGCTAGTGTTTTCATGGTGCTTGAGCTTGTTCATTTATAAGAAATGCAAGTGTGCCTTTCTATTAACCACTGAAGTAAGTCAAGCAAGACGAGATAAAGTCTTGAGTAAATTTATAAGTGGTTTTTCCTTTCTTTCTTTTTTTAAAGTGTTTATGGGTGAAGTGATCCATTTATGAATATGAGAATAAATCCAAATCATAGGAACCTTGATTAAGCAAAACTTTGAAAGTGTGAAGCTCTTTTTTCTCACCACCACCTCCATCTGCATCTACACCCTCTGAAGGCGGCGTTCCCATCTCCTTCCTTCACTCTTCTATTTCCACCGCATCAGAACAGCTGTTTGGCATCCCTTGAAGGACACAAATTGTGTTCCTTGGACTGTTCTTTGATGTGGGGACTAGAGGAAGTTAGAAGGAGCAAGATTGAGGCTGTAAGGTAGATGGGGTGACTGATCTCGAGGACTTACCTCATTGGATACCCTTGCTTTCCTGGAAGCAGGGGCAGGAGCAGGCTTGTGATGGAAACGCCAGTGCCTCGGCCACTTTCCAGGCCTTGTTTCTACCAGTGCCATTTCCAGTTTTCTTCAAACGTCTTCATGAGAAGACCCTGAGATCCTTCAAGAAAACCCATCAAAATCACCCTTTGGGAATCCGAAGAAATAGTCCCCACAACCTTCTGGGCTGAGTTCTCTTTGCTTTCAGGTTATGGATCCAGCAAATCCCCTGGGAAGCAGCAGGGTGATTAGCTCTTGCTCCATGGATCATCTAAGTGAATCCAAGATTCATCTTGGTAACGATTCCTTCTACAAAATCATGTCCATTAAAAAAAAAGAAAAAAAAAATCATGTCCATTAGCTTCAATCTTGCTCAAAAGACTAATGGGAGAAAAACTCAGCATTTGCAGAGTTGCTCTGTATGCACTGCTGTTTTTTTTCTTCCAGTATCCATTTTTTGAGACTAAGCAAAGTATAGTGGTTACTTGTTGGGTGACTAGCCCAAAGTTCAGTAGTTCAAAACCACCCATCACCCCACAAGAGAAAGTTGAGGCTTTCTGTCCCCAGAAAGAGTCCCAGTCTAGGAAACCCTCAGGGACCATTCTCCCCTGTTCTATGGGGTTGCGCTCAGTGGTAATCGGCTCCACGGCAGTGAGTTTGGTTGGATTTTGGAAGCCAAGCATGTGATGGAGAGACCTTGTCTGCAAGCCTCTGCTCGTCTTCTCAGAGACATGTGGGAACATATTTTGTTTGGAGGAAACCCTGAAGTAAATGTATATAAATTTACTCTGGCTGATGTTTAGCTTTCTTCCCAGGCAAAAGTGAAGACATTACTATACTTCTCCCAATGTATGAGTTCCTCACTATCATTGATTTTTGTAACATTTTGATTCTTGATATATTTACCTAGGCTTTGTAGTGATATCAGGAAGCAGGTCTTCAACAGGACGTTATTTGGTATGAGGTAAACTGTATTTTCCCCTACAGCCCACTTTTTAGGGCTTTTAATAAACATAAAACAAGACGG